TTTTTATTTTTTTTTATTAGTTTATTTAACTTGGACATACAGTAACATTTAACCATGCACAAGTTCCAGATGCACTGCTCTTAGTGTTTATAGCAAAATGCTAATGCTAAGTTCAAATGATAAGGAAAGGAGTGTAATTGATGCCTTCATAATGTCCTTAAGCAAAGGATACACTGGGCCATTCTTTACGAAAGGAGATAAGATAATATGACCCACAATTCCTTATGTTCACTAAAAAAGCGAAGCACCTGTCAACTTCATGAAAAAAACCCAATAATTTTTATTCAACCAAACTTGAGATTTATGTGGATAAATATGAGAGGAGAGCAGAATGAACAGAGCAATATTGTCATTGTAACCACCATAGACTGTAAAAAAAATGGACGAGACAAGGTCCCCGGTCTAGTGAAGCTTTTATTTGTAGAGCTCCCCCTGCTGACTGGCTGCAGTATAGGTCATAAACCCCGCCTCCTCAATGATAACAGATGGGATGTGGGTCAAACTGTAAAGTTAAAATACTCGTCACATAATTTTTTTACAAACATAAACTCTGCTGTGATCATTAGTTATTATCACCCTACATTGTGTTCATGTGCTCATTTTTCTGTGAAGTTTGTTTTAAATAAGTTATTTGAGGTTGAAAAACGGGATTTTACGTCATATTTAAGGATATCTGCGTTGACTTGGTAAGTTGAAATGTTTGCTTAATGTGCTGTTCGGGGGTAATGTCGTTAGCTAGCTAACACTGAAGTAGGCTAGCTGGCTGTGACGGACATTATTTATCTTTTTATTTCAGTAAAGAATCGTCCTGATGGTCTGCATTATATAACTTTACTTTACAGTCTGTTAAAGTAAAATAGAATATGTCCTGATGGTCTACATTATATAACTTTACTTTACAGTCTGTTAAAGTAAAATAGAATATGTCCTGATGGTCTGCATTATATAACTTTACTTTATAGTCTGTTAAAGTAAAATAGAATATGTCCTGATGGTCTACATTATTAATAACATTAATAGTTGTTCAGTCTGCTCAGTGTGCACAGACTGTAAGAATAACAGGCTCAACTTTCTTCCGCTCCTCGTGATGCTGCTGCGGAGCTGAAATTTAACATTAATATTTGGAAGAGGCTGAATATTGTGTGAACACACATGAAACTTGTGCCAGACATTTGGTCTTGAGTCACTGACATAGTCGTGCATTTTGAAAAATCTAAACGTTTTCTGGAATTGTATTAATAAGCTTCATAATTTCCTTAAACCAGTCAACTAGTATGTTTCCATCTCTTTGCCATCACAATCGTTTTTTGTTTTTTGTGGAGTGGGAGAGTGACAACCCGCTGCCACACCGAGGGGCCACGCGGCCTCGGGTGCAGGGATCTACCAATAATGATCCTTCCGCGGGTTCATGGTGCGTTGGGGTAGATGAGGAACCCACAAGGGTAGTGGTTCACATCCCTTGCTCTGCAGTACTCCTCTACAGCTGCAGGCTTCATTTCAAGCCCCCTCCTCATGTCTGCAGTCTGATGGCTGGGTCTCAGTAGCCTTTTAACAAGAGTTACAGAAGAGCTGTGACTTCTGGTGTGACAGATCTCTCTAAAATTGGAGGATGTGACTCTCAATGTCAAAAAATTTAATTTTTGTAAATGTTTACAATGTTTACAATTTACAATGTAAATGTTTATTTATTATTATTTTTATTTTTATTATATAAAAATATAAAAGTATAAATTAAAAAGGTAGATGATAAATATAAAGTCGACATCGATCAAGGTTGAGAGTTCGTGCCCCACCTCCTGCGGCCAAACCTCGCTGTGTCCTTGGGCAAGACACCTAACCCGGCATCGCCCGAGTGAATGAGTATGAATGGGAGAGTCACAATTACTGCATGAATGGGTGTGATTGGGGAAGTGTGACATTGAGTACCGAGATTGAGAACTGAGACCAAAAAGCTATACATTCGGTGATTGTGACTCTCCCATTCATACTCATTCATTCGGGCGATGCCGGGTTAGGTGTCTGGCCCAAGGACACAGCGAGGTTTGGCCCCGGCATTCTGTCGACTTTATATTTATCATCTACCCTTTTAATTTATACTTTTATATTAAAACGCAAACATTTACATTTAAATCTCATTTAGCTGATAGAGGGTTAACATTCTCAGTCTTTCTATTGTATGTATGTGTCTAAGTGTGTGTGTATGTAGAGGTGTGTTTATACTTCATTTTCTTTTGAAATTGTGTCATTCGATTTAGTTGATTTATTTGTCTCTTAAGAGGTCAGGTCCCTTGTATAAGCTTGTTGGCTTCTTCTACAATTCTACAATTCTACAATTCACTTAGCAGACGCTTTTATCCAAAGCGTCGTACATCAGAGAGTAAATACAACACAAGTAAGGATCTAGAAAAAAGGGAACAATGTGAGTAAGAGCAAACGATCAGCTTTGAGTCTGATTGGACACACAGGTGCTGACAGGAAGTGACCAGAGACAAAGCACAACATTGATGGCAGTTCTTGAGAGCTGTTAATCCTATTTCGATGTATTCTTATATGTGTGCTAATAAATAAATGAAAATAATTGTTGTGGTCATTTTGTGTCTCCTGCACATTTTCTCATCATGTGAGAACATGAACTCTGATGTTTTCGTGCGCTATGATTTGATTGGTGGAGGTCTCCTGTCCGGTCAGACCCTAATCTGATTTCCGGGACAACATGAACACAATGCTACCCTTAAATGTTGTCAATGACTAACAACAAGTGTCCAGTAGATTCTGTGAAACACAATAAATGCTTTCTTTAAATTAAAGGACGATGGATCCCTTTAGTCCTGCTGGGCTGTTGTTAACAGAGAGAGAGGATGTTGATGCTCATTCATGGGATGAAGATGCTGCTAACGTAGTGGATATTGTGGGAGATACATATGGGAGATATGAGGAGGATGAAGAGTACTGTCTGAACGAGCTGGATTAATATCGTAAGTAAGCGTTTTCACTTTGAAGTAAGCTATACTTCTGTCTTGCTGTTAGCTGTAGCCTAACGCTAACTAGAATGTAACTGTGGCCATGCTAGCTCTATGTATCGCTGTTTCCATAGAAACGTAAAACCAGTTATTTCTAATGAATGCTGAGGTTATTTGCATTTGTTCACAGCTTAAGTGTCTTTTTAAATCTACATATGCTTTTTCTGGCGACTTTAAATGTAAATGTTTGCGTTTTAACGTAAAAAAAACGAAACGTAAAAGTATAAATTAAAAGGTATAAATATAAGTTTGACATAATATCAAATGCCGGGGCGAATGTGGCACAACTGGCAGGGTGCTCGGCCCCCAATCGCAAGGCCGAGAGCCCGAGCCCCACCTCGGCCAAACCTCGCTGTGTCCTTGGGCAAGACACTTAACCCGGCATCGCCCGAGTGAATGAGCGTGAATGGGAAAACCACAATTACTGCATGAATGAGTGAGGTTGGGTAAGTCAGACATTGAGTGCTGAGACCACAAAGCTATATAAGCTCATGTCTGCTTACCATTTCTATATTTTATTATATATTAATATATTGCACATTCTTCTGCCCTTGTGTTTTGATTAATACTCTTGGTTCTGTGCATGCTTTTAGAAGAGTTTACTTTCTGCCTTGGTGTGACATATGACAGATTTCCGGCACCTGTTTATCTTTGTTGTATTTGATTTACAGTTTGTTGATTGTCCAATCAGCGGCCAAGGGTCAAAAAGAAAGCAACGAGAGAAACGCAAAGACGGCAAGGAGAACACCAGACCAGGAAGAGACGAGAGGCAGATTACGGAAACGAGATGACCTATACTGCAGCCAGTCAGCAGGGGGAGCTCTACAAATAAAAGCTTCACTAGACCGGGGACCTTGTCCCGTCCATTACAGTGCGCGCCCACTGGCAACAACCATGTCACCTCACATTTGATTCGTGTGTGTGTGTGTGTGTGTGTGTGTGTGTGTGTGTGTGTGTGTGTGTGTGTGTGTGTGTGTGTGTGTGTGTGTGTGTGTGTGTGTGTGTGTGTGTGTGTGTGTGTGTGTGTGTGTGTGTGTGTGTGTGTTGCTACTTTAAGACAATACAGATCCGTTACCGTTAGTAGTTTAATCAGTTCAAAGCACTGCCAATATGAACTGTGAGTCCTATTGTTTTTATGACAGTAAAGATAGTCTATGAGCCTATACGTGAAACGTGTTCTTTGTTTTGAACCGTAATGATTTTGATAAATACAGAGAAAATTCATCTGTGACAGTGGAGTGTTCATTTGCAGTTCAAAGTGCTTCACACATTACTTACAGGCTGAAAACCATGTAGACTATAATAATAACAGCTTGGAAACAAGAGCAAATTAAAATATATTATTAGATAATACATTAATACAATGAAATAAGGGAAATAAAATACAGTCATACAGTCATTCTTAATATCAGGCAAGTTCAACAAGATCTCTAGATCTCCATGTCAAAGCAGCTTACCCTATCTCCTGAGCATCCTGAGGGGCCGTGATTGTTCATAACCTGTAAAAGCCTCAATGACGTCATAATTATCGCCGAGGGTCTTACGTTTTTTCGGCTGCATTAACACTGTCAGGTAAAACACGCACACCGGGCGATAGATGCGCTCTTTGTAGTCCATCAACCATAGATTGTAGTTTTTTGACACAGCAGACCCACGTGACACCTGCAACATCCGCCTAATGAAGTCGAAATCCCTCATCACAGCGGTTATCTTTTCCTATCCCGTCCCGTTTTTGGTCGAGGTCAAGGAAGATAAGGTGAATAAGAAAATAGAGGACCATTTTTTGGACTTTTCGAAAGTGGGCTACACCTTGAAACCACGGACTCTCTCGTTCTACTCCCGCGAGATCATGGGTTGCTTAGTTACCAACGTCAACAGATCCATTGACAAAACTAACACTAAACACTGTGAATCTTTGCTAGCCGCATGCTCAGCTACTTGTCAGGATTCGCGGATAATATTGAATTGTCAAATTAAATAATGGAGGTAAGTTCCTTTAACAAGTGTTTGTTCTCAAAAGTTTAACTTAATTTTGATGTTAAATGACATGAATCCGCCGTGTTATATTTCGCATAGGCTAATAAATGGTATTAAGTTTGTCTATTTTGACGTCCATTGAAAAATATAGCCTATCTATTTTCACCTGCTTCACTGCTCTCATTTCCTTTAGGGATAGCCTACCTACTGTAGTCCTAACAATAGCTGCTAATATCTGCCTCTTCAGTGGCCTAGCCATGTCCAGTAATGCCTTTTCTTTATGTCCTCTCTCTTGTGTCTCTGTTGTATGTAAAGGACCCGGGAGCAGGAGGAGAGGACATGTTTGGGTCCTTGGAGGAGTTTCAGAAGATCCTCAGTGAGCTGCTTGGAGACCAGAGTATGGACAAGGTCAGGGTGGAGTATGAGAAGCTCATCCAGGCTCTGAAGAAGTCCAGAGAGAACGAGAAGAGGCTGATGTCTAAATGCAGAGAGCTCAACGCAGAGATCGTGTCCGTCTCAACCAAAGTGGCAGCAGCCCTCAAACTGTCCCAGGAAGACGAGACCACTATTTCTTCACTAAAGAGGGTAAAGTATGAACACAGGAGGATACAGTGTAGCACGTCTCATTTACTTTTGTTTCTGAGCCTGATTTCAAACATTACGGTCAGAATTATGTTACAACAAACATCCATAAATTAAAATGAGTATATTTGGTGTTTGCTATGCAAGTTATACTTTATTGTATTAGTTGGCTGATGTTTTATCTTTTTGTCCACTTTAAACTCAATAACCAAACATATTCATATGTTACTTTGCTTTACTGCAGGAGCTCGATAAAGCTTGGAAAATGGTTGACACTGCTCATGATAAAGAGAAAAAAGACAAAGAGACCATCAGGAATTTAAAAGAAGACATTTCCAACCTAATAAAGATGAATGAACAGCAAACTGGTTTCTCTAAGGACCAACAGCAGAGGTGAGACATGTTTGTGGATTATTGTGTGAATACTGTCAGCAGGTAAAGGATTGTGAATAAACGATTGTCTTTTCAGTGAACGGCTAAAAGTAATCGAGGACCTGACTAAAGAAAGAGATCAGCTGTTGACAGATGTGGAAGATCTGAGAGATAAACTGAAGCAGACCTCTGTGACCCAGCAGGAGACTGAAGCCAAACGAGATGCTGCATTAGAGAATATTTCTCAGGTAAATCTGTTGAACACTCTTGAACAGTATGCTTACCTCGAAGGTAGATGGTATTGTTTTAACTTATTGGTATACTCAAAAGTAGATTATTTAACTTAGAACTCTGTCCTAAACATCAATAAAATGCTCTTTTGAGGTAATCTTTTTTAAACTTAAATTAAAGGTTATCTGAAATAGAATATCCCCTTCCAACTCTCATTGTCGATTCAGCTTCCAGCAGCCAGTTTATTTGCAAAAATGGAAAAACAAAGACATAAATACGTCTGATGAAAAAAGGAAAGATGAAGCAACAAGAACACATCTAAACCTAAACCAGCAAAATTTTCTAAATGAAATGAATACATGAATTAAATTTGTTTTAGTCAAATCAACAATCATTGAGTTACATGTTGTTTGTCACCCAGTCTTTGTAAACAGCCATGAGAGCCAAGGAGTTCATTTTGAAGACAAGTTTTCAACATCATATCTAAATCATGACCAGGTTTTGTTCCTTCCCTCTCCTGATCCTGTCTGGACGAGAGGAAGTGGGATGCAATTGAGCAATGGCAGTATCGTATACTGTAGTTATCATAAAACGTTAAGATTTATATTTCAAAAATAATGATGAGCCCAAAACAAACTAGCTCCCTTCACTTACAGTAACAATGCTTAGATGAGAGGAAACCACCAGAACTGCCTTAAGGGAAACAATAGGCAGAGAACTAACCAGCACGAACGAACAAACTGCACCTTGAAAGAAACGAGAAATGGTGAGTGAACGATGTAGACTGGGTTCTGTGGTGTTTCTGCAGACTCCATGTACGGATTAATAATCTTCCAAGCGGGAGTCCCTGGTTCAAATCCAACTAAGGCTTCTTCCCTGCATGTCTTTCCTTATTCTGTCTCCCGATTTCCTATTCTACTCATTGTCCTGTCAGAATATAGGCAGAAGCAAAAAGTCCCCCCCCCCCCCCCCATTTAGTTGCATTTATTCATTGCTCAATTGCATCTTTTCCTCCCACCAGAGATACATGGAGAGATGAAAGGATTTAAAGTGAGGGTGGAGAAAAGAGGAAATGTGTTTTAAGTGGCATGAGAAGTCCTTTCCTCTGAAGCGTTAAGTACAATTGGTTAGTGAAGTATTTACTTGTGCTGTTAAAGAATCAAAGTCTTTTTTCCAATCATTTGTAAACTTTGCTCCAGAGGTTGAATTTGAGCAGTTAACCCCGAGGAGGAAACACAAACTCAAGTGAGATGTGAACTTGTCACTGCTCTGTGTCTGACTCCAGCTCCAGCAGGAGCTCCAGGTGCAGCAGAATGAGATTTCTCGGGAGATGAGGTTTAAAGAGAAGCTGGACAAGGAGGTGAAGCAGCTGCACGTCGACATGGAAGCAAAGATGGCGGATATCAAAGCTCTGAATCTGCAGGGCCAAAGAGCAAAAGAGGAGCAGCAGAGACTGGAGCATCAGCTCAAAGAGCTCAAGGTTAGAAAATCTTTATCTGATGAAGTGTCATTCATTTACCTGAACCAGATACTTTATATTTAAGAAAATAAGGAATAAAATGTTTCCCATATAAAGAGAAAGCTCTTATTGTCTTGCAAAAAAGTCATACAGTAAAGTATAATTTAACAAAAGATCCATATGAGCACTGTAAGGTTCAGGAATATTACAATTTGAGGTAGTCAAAATAAAGAAGCTGTATAAAAAATGCAGATCTTTCAGTGATATTCAACCCAGAGCTGCCATGAGTGAATGAGAGAGAGAAGAGGAGGTCCATTCAAACTCACAGCTGGACACATAACGATTTTCCTCAAGTCCCTGTGTCTCTAATTCAACTTTTTTTTAAAAAGGAGAGCAGAACAAATGAGAGCAGAGGTGAAGGTGTCTCATCATGCTTTGGCAGCAGTTTCGTCCTGGCCAATGTATTTGTTAAATTTAGACAGTTTGCTCTACTTTGCCTGCAACACAATACTGGGTTCCCAGGACTCCTATTTTTGTTGCCATGGTGATACATACTGGTATTGTACTGTATAGTTTTAATGCTGGTATCGTGACAACCCTATTACCATTGGCCGCTGACAGATCTAAAGCCACTCCCTGGAAGGTCAGACTTTTTTTTACTGTGAGAGAGATGTGAAATGAAAAATAGTTTCATTCTTGGTTTTGTTGTGTTTATGAGGACATGAGGAATGTATGCTTTTAGTGAAATGAGCTTTATTTATGCTGATGTCTTTTGGCAGGGTGACTATGAAAAACTTGAAATGTGCTTCAGTAAGGGAACCTTCAGTGAAGCAGAGTTTGTGTTCCCAGATTGAGAGAGAGATAATTAAAGGCAATGAGTAAATCATATAAAATACTGTGTTTAACAGTTTTATTTTTGGTCAATAAACCAAAATGTTAACCTACAAACAAATATGAATGGACTTAAACTAAGTGGAACATTTGTATAAAACAAGCTGCAGATGTTACATCATACAGTCAATGTAAATTTAACAGTGAGCAATAACACACTCTTACTGACCTGCAGGATGTTGTAGAGACAGATCCTTCCCTCTCTCTGATCCTTTCTCTCACTGTGACAGATTTTAAACGAGCGGACGAGCAAGGAGCTGGAGCATACGCAGGTGAAGAACGGCAAACTGCAGCAGGAGAGCGAGCAGCTCTCATCAGTCAAGGAACATCTCTCCCTGGAGAACCAGCAGAGCGCCAATGAGCTCAAGGTAAACAGTGCAGCGGCAAAGAGACAGCCCTGACTCTTTAGGTAACATACAATGTATATAATGTTGATTTATAGTGTTTATGTGAGCCTTTTACTAAGAATAATTTTAAATGTGAACGAGATTTATAGAGCCATACAGTAAAAGAAGATATAGCTCCTAACTGCAATGTTACACAACACAGAGTTGTTCCAATCACACTAACGTTAACAGATCACTACACCAAATAATTTATTTCTAAAATCTTAAAAAAGGGTAAAAGTTACATTTCTTTTTATTTATTGAGGCACGAAGACATATTTCTAATGATATCCGTCTTTTCTTAAACGTGCAAACATTTTAGTGCACCTTTATTCAGTAGTGTAACACCATACAGGTTTACTGCAGTGAGGCCATCATAGAAACAGGTAGAGCTTTGTAGACTTAACTTTTTCATGTAATACAATGTAGAAGTGATGAGACTTTTATTTTGCTAACTATTGTCTCTAGTCTGCTGCAGTGAATCATACCTGATGAGAGAATAGTGATTCTGCCCGATTTAACCACAAGGGGGCACTGCTCTTACAGTACATAATGTGTAGAGCAAATTAATGACAGGTCTAATGAGTTCATCACTGTTGCCGCTCCCAGAAAGACAAATGTGAATTAGTTATTATCATTTATTAATACATTTTCACTGAAAGGGGACATATTATGAAAAATCCACCTCTACAGTGTTCAGTGTACAGTGTACACTTAAAGAGACACACACACCAAAACGGAGCGTTCTGAGAGAGCTGGTTTATACAGGATCACAAACCTCCTCTGGTGCTTGATTCATGTTATTTTTTTAACAAAGCACAGCACAGATGTTTCATTTAGACCACAGAGGACTGTTAGAAAAGGTGGAGAAGGGGGATAATATGTCCTCTTTAAATCTTTGGAAAAGCTGAAGGAGGTAAAAAGAGGGAAAGAAGGAGACTAGAAAGAGGATGACTTTCAGCAAAGTGCCTGGGTTGTAATCCAAACCCTGGATGTACTCTCTAAGCTACAGGCGTGCAAGCTCTACCAGATTGACTTCCAGAGGGGCCCAGGTTATATTTATGTTAGAATAACTTTGAAATGTATTTAATGAGGGCTGTGGTCAGACAGACAGACGAAACTTTTGTTTTGGTCCTCAGTGAACCCGTTCTTCTTTTATGAATAAACCCTTTCCCATGCTTATTTCTGTTGTGTACTGATGCATACGACTCCTCTGCTCCAACTCCCAGATGAGAGAGGAGGAGGTGAATCAGATGCGTCAGGAGGTGGCCAAACAAACAAAAATGAGAGAAATCATCCAGAAGAAGTTCCACCAGATGGAGGAGCAGAAAGCTGACGTGGATGTGCAGAGGGAGACCCTGAAAGCTCAGGTCACTGGTCTGGAGAAAGGTAAGAGAGCTTGCTGTGATTGAACAAAGACTTTCTCCCAGTGTTTCTCTCCCTCAGTGCTGAGCTGTTTAACATGAGATTAGTTCTTACATCTAACATGCATAACAGGTGTTTTAGGACTGCAGGAACTTTTTCATAGTTTTAGGAACTGTTTGAAACCTTCCCCCTTTTTGTTGATTTAGCACCGCAGGAACTATGAACTCCTCTAGTTCCTGAAACCCCGTTTAAAGGAACCCTTTTAGCTCCTGCTTCTCAGAGTATGAACCATGGTGGTGCAAATGCAGACGGAAAAAAATCCTCATGGTGTGAGAGTGTAGGCACTCTCTTGTGGATAGTTCCTCTTCAAATAGTCCCCAGAACTGTTTGGTTTGAAAACATCTATTCTTGCTATTTGTTGAAAAGGAAGAGTAATTACCACTTCTTTAAAAATTGTACTCAGCGATGAATCTGCTGTAGAAGGTGTTGATTTGACTTTTTAATAGATTGAGGTCACAAATGATTTAGAGGAAAACAAGCTCATCTGTTTGCCTTACATTCACTGACACATACAATCAGTTTCTGTACTTGTGTCCATCTGTGTTTCTATGTACTTTTTCTATATTCTGCTTATTTTCCAAACATAAAAACAGTGAATAATATCACTCCTCTTCTCATACATTATGATGTTTTATTCAGTCTTTGGCCTGCTAAATTATGTATTAGTAAGCTCATGTGAGGAAACAGTTAATAAACACACACAAGAATGTTTACTTTTAGCATAAAAATAAACCCTTCTCATCTTTCTCTCACTACAGAACTTGAATCTTCCAAAAAACAAGCTGAAGTTGACAGAAAAGCCATCGAGGAGCTGATCAGAGAGAGAGACATCTTGAATAAGGTTGAGTTTCTTTTCTTTCTTTAAATGGGCGGGACATTTAGTGAATCAGTGTCACAAAAGTATGTCAGCTGAGATACTCCTTACACGCAAGTTACATCACAAACAATAAGGAAAAACAATCTCAGTTTCATTGTGCTTATTCAGATTGGTTAACACAAGGCCAAAATAGATTTGTTTCTAGCCTGAACACAGATTATGTATTCTCTGTACTGGAATTGTTGACAGTGAGATCAGCAGTAACTAGAGTAATGGTGACCTACAGGGTATTTATACCCATGTCCTACACTTTTGATCAACAAACAACTTTCTGTTGGATGTTACTATTTTACAGCTGTAATTACTCATTTAGGCATTTTTAGATTTAGATTTTATATTAATTAAAAAAATCTTTCAAAATCACCTCCTTTGGAAATCTATTGAAAAAACACACCAGCTGCTTAAGAACATAGCGTAGAAAATCACTCCTCTTTTAGTTCAAAACGAAATTTTTTTTAGTTCATATAAAAAATATGTCCTAAAGAAACCTTTATAGGGCACATTTATCAACATACATAATGTCACACAAACACAATAATTACTTGAGCGAGCCTAAATATCAACATTTATGCAAGGTCATTAAAGGAGGGGATGGTCATTTTTATACAGATACACTTTTTAAGATTCTGGTTGAAATTGTCTTTAGGTCCTGACAGTAACTCATGTGCTCTGTAAAAGGAACAAAGAAAACCTGTCATCTGTAGCAGTTGAATGCTTGTAAAAACTTTGACTGAGGGGCTAGGTGTTGACGGAGCACTGAGGGAATGCTACTTTCAAAACATGCCAGTTTTCGAAAAATTCCTAACCCTGCCTTTAACTTTAGACTTTAAGTGACCATGACTGTTTTATTACTTATATATAGAAATACTCATAATGTGTTCCTGTACAAACCCATTCAATAGAACATGATCACAGCGTCACAGTCTACGGAGAAACAGCAGAACCTGGTGAAACTCCTCGAGCAGGACAAGAAGACCCTTGAACATGAGATCAATGGTTACCGCCAGGAAGCCCAGAAGCAACGCAAAATCATTCAGCAGCTGGAGAAAGAACGGGACCGCTACATCAACGAGACCAGCAGCCTCATGCAGAAGGCAGGATTGTTATATTGTATTTCTTCACAACAGTATCTGTAAACTTTCCTTCACCTCAACTTCTCTGAGGGTAACTTTTCTTTGTTTCCACAGGTGCAGCAAAAAATGAGTGATGTTGAAGTAAGAGAGAGTGAGATATTTGACTGGAGAAAAAAAGTCACAGAAGCTGAGTGCAAACTTAAACAGCAAGAAAACCTGCTGGAGAGTGTTGTTGCTGAAAGGAACCTCTACAGCAAAAACCTCATTGAGGCTCAGGTATGATGATTGTATTCTTATCATTCACATTGTATCTTCATCTCTGCAAAATGATCACTTTTAGATAAATTATTGTTGGATAAGACTGCTGTTGTTCGAGATCTTAACTTATGAAAGTCTTTCACAGTGTATATCGGGCTGTTTCTACTCCAATGTATCAAAATTTAGTTTAAATCAAAACTACATTAAGTGGATATAGTCCTACCCCTCAGGCATACCACAAAGATCCATTTTGGGCCCACTTCAAATGTTCTTATATACAGATGATCAGCCATTCCTTTTCCCTGATTTAGACTCAAATATTAGCTGATGATATGGTCGTATCTGTAAAAATACAAAAAAAGGATTTGCCTACGTTTGAGTTTATGCCATAGCCCATTTTACTGAGGGATTAAATAATCTACAACTAAATCTACAATTTAATGTGTCAGAAACTACCAGTTTGTTCTTCACTAAAAAGCTATTTATCATTGATCCACTAATTATTGCAATTGGACATAGGTCAGACACAAAGATCTCAGGTGATTTGTTTTTGTACTGAGTCAGGTACACGCTACAAGACTTTAAAATGTTTTAAAAACAACTAAATCCTCTCATGTCTCAAGATATTTAGTCAAAGACTAGAAGATGTCACAAGACTGGGCATCTTAAAGGGTCACTCTTCAAAGAACTACAACAAATAACAATTACAAACACTTAAATTTAAGAACTTTATTTGTTTTATTCCTACTAAAAAAATATAATTACACTTTTTATGAGCCACATTCACCTGACAAGTCCAGATAAACATCTTATATTAAGATATAAAAAGCAAAAATAAAGCCTCAATTGCTAAAAAAAAAGTCTGCCAATGGGGCAAGCAAGGTATCTTGAGATGAGGTGAAGACATCATCTGGATTTGATTTTTTATTGTCATAGTATAACATACACATAAATATTTAACAATTGTAGTGGTCTAAAATGCTGCCCTCTCTCTCTCTTTTCCATTGCATCCCTCTGCTGTCTTGTCTCTCTACCCTCAGGAAGAGATTGCAGAGATAAAGAGGAAGATGAAGACCATGAACAACCAGGTCACCAGACTGAGAGATGAGATCACGGGAAAGGAGCTGGCCCTCGCCAAAGACCAGCAGGAACAAAAGCGCTTACAGAAAGATAACGAGGCACTCAAGGTACTAAATGTAACAAAGCCACAGGAAATTGGAACTCACAAGCACGACTCAAAACACAGTCCTTGGTAAGAAAAAAAACAGTCTTTATACAGAATACAAAAAAGGGAACAGGCAAAGAAAGTTGATTCCAAAAGTTATCTAAGAGAAACAAAAAGCTTGTACGCTTCACACAGAGGTCAAAGACGAACTGGCACTGAAGGAAGGGAAGCCACAGACTAAATACTAAGGTGAGGGGGAAGACAACGAGATACAGCTGGGAACAATCAGGGCGGGGCAGACAATCACACAGGCGGGAAACACATGAAGGCAGGAAGTGAAGGATCTGAAATGAGAGGAGAGGTTAGTGACCCAAAACAGGAAATAATACAAGTAGAAATACATAACCTAAGACACAGAGCTGGACATGACACTACAGTCTTTTGAGGGTTTCTTTTGGATCCCTCATCCTTATGTAAATTGTCATCATTTAGCCATTTCGGTCACCCTATTTTGCACAAAAGTCAGTTTATAAAAACATAGGATACTGTGTTCTTTGCTGAAAGTTACCAGGGCACTGGGAACATTTGACGTTTTCTTCACCCTCGTCTATTCTTATAGACACAATATCTTCAAATTCACTCTGATGTCCTCTTATTATCTTATTATCTCCATGTATTCATGGAAATTTGTTGATCAAAATTCATTGTGACTATGTGAAAAGTGTCATGCACGACCTGCTCCAACCTCAGAGACAAGGAAGTGTGGACAACACTAACTCGATGAATACAAAGGAGAAATTCTTCCTGCATATTATCATATGCTGTTTTGTAAAGTGTCTCGAGATAACACTTGTCATGAATTGGCGCTATACAAATATTGATTGATTGATTGATAGTGACCACAGCATTTCTGCAAAGAGAGTTTTATCTCATCTGGTTTATATCTGTCAGACAGAATGACACAATCTTCAATTTATGTGCACAAACTTCCCACACTCTAAATTTATCCTCTTTTTTTTCTGTTGTTCAAGGATTTACTGACACTTACACGCATAGGAACACGTCCCCCCCCCCGGCTCAAGTAACACTCTCAGTCTGAGGGAAACACTGATGGATCTAAAATTGCAACCTGACTAGTTGGATGTAGGCCTTTAACACCAAACCAGTAATGGTAGTTCAGGCTTCATTTGTGGTACTTTCCAGCACTCTTTATGTCTAACTAGGGTATGTGCACACTCATCTTTGTGTCCTGCTGCAGGTGGAGCTGCAGACAATCCGGCTTCAGCTACAAGAAAAAAAGCAGCTTGTTGACAGTCAGAAAGCAGAACAGCAAAAACTGCAGAAGATTATAGCAGACGCTGATGCTGAGCAGATCCAACAGAAGAAGCAGCTGGAACAGGTACAGAAAGAGAACAGAGACAGGATGAAAAAAACAAAGATCTATATCTGATAACTTGTTGGTGAATCTTCTCTGAAGGTTATCAGAGAGCGGGACAGCCTGGGCAAGCAGCTGCTCCGCCACAATGATGAGCGTGCTCTGCTGTACGAGAAGATCAGGATCCAGCAGTCCATCCTGAGTAAGGGGGACTTCCACTACAGCCAGAGGATCGAGGACATCCGCCTGCTTAAGCTGGAGATCAAGAGGCTCCGACGCAAGAAGAGCATCCTGGACAAGACTGTTCCTAACACAGAGGACTTGAGGTAACAGAGAGGCTTGCGGGTTAATGAGATCATCGGGTGGATGATGAGTTTGAAAAAGACAGTCAGCACTGAATTTGCTCTAACAGAAGAGCTGTGAGTAGTAGTAACAGGAAATCAACCTACGCCCGTCGATCATAAACCACATGCAGGTTTTACATAGAGAAAAGCAGTTATGAGGTGTCTAAGTGAAAATAGACACTGTGCACATTCTCACAAGAGAATGTCAGGTGAATCTCAATGGTAACATGCTGAGCTTTTGTACTCTCTAGTCTTGATGTACGCACATGAAGCTCAAACTCACTATAAGCTACACTCAGATTAATTGGCACCAAAGAAGTGTTGCGTTTCTGATTTATTTTGGATTCAGGAGGGACATGACACAAACACAGGTGTGACATCAGCAGATAGAGATATGAAGTGAGGCTTATAGCTCATATTCACTCTTTATTATGTGTTTATTGTGCAGACCTAGGTGAGATACTATTGTTACATAAATAAAAATGCATTTAACAGTTAGTTTTTATGGCAAATTGATAAAATAACAGTCAAGCAACTGTTTGCAAGTTAACTCCTTAGCAAGCATGTGGTCATATCATGTATAATGGTTTTAATTAAAGCAACTGGGTGTACCAGTAGGTAGATCTGTGCTGTTGCTTGTTGGCCATTAATCACTGGCACACGGTAAATCTGACTGAGGGCAGAAAGGAGAGAGAAAGAGATGACCTACAAAGTGCAGCATTTAGAGAAGAGGATTCAAATTAAAGATGGAGGAAGAGAGAGATCCAGAGCCAGAGGTAGGACTGACCTTCAAACTTCTAGTTTTTTTTAAACCTCAGTATCTTAAATACGGCTTTCCATATAAGAGTTCAAACGTCCTGCAGCCTGTAGTGACTACATAACCTGTATTTGAATAGTTCTATCTCTAACGTTTATTATCATGCATAGTAAACTTGACGTTTTGATGCAAAGGATGAGTAGTGTATTATCGTTGTTAGTATTTACTCCCTAAAGTTGTCCTACAGTGAATTATGAGACACATTGAGAATATTTATTATTAAAGCGCTGCATGTAATAACTGTGTTAAATTAAATGAAACTATGCTGTCACAGGCGAGAGCTGTTCCACTTGCAGAGGGAGCTGCTGAGAGAGAGGGTGAGGAGCAGCGTCCTGGAGGATCAGCTGAAGCCATCAACATTCACAGATGGAGACGACTGGAGGTGAACCACTTGTTTAAAGTGTTTATGAGCTGGAGGGAACTTCAGCTCTGTGCTGTTGTAATTGTTTTTCTTTACAGGTAACATGAAGTTCTCCTTTGTAGTGTTTGTGAAAATCCTCTCAAATCTTGACCAAATTCTTTGTTAATGTCTCTCCCCTGCAGGGCAGTGATCCTGGAAAATACGAACTCATCCAGAAGATTCAGTCCTTACAAAAACGACTCATCAAAAACTCAAGAGCTGGAGGAACGGGAACTCTTATTACAGGTAGATACTCATTACACTAGAGCACACTGCACATCACTGTGCATTTCTATAAAAGGAGCTGGTTCAACAAATGAAGCCAGAAAGGGCTGGTGGAGTGGTTAGCTCTGTTGCTTCACAGCGAGGAGGTCCCTGGTTTGCATGTTCTCCTCGTGCATGTGTGGGTTCTCTACGGTTCTCCAGCCTCCTCCCACAGTCCAAACACATGCTCATTAATGACTCTAAATTGCCCGTAGGTGTGAATGTGATTGTGCCTGCTTGTCTGTCTCTATATTGAAGAAGCAAAGCGGGATTTTCTAGCACAACTTCACCAACTAGCAAGGTGCATGAAGAGTGAATGGCTTGAAGAGTATAAAATGCTCCAGCAACACTTGTAGTATGAAGATCAATTTTATTAACAAATTAGACCGACGGCAATGACCCTGATGAAGGTGACAAGCCAAAACGTGTCGGTCTAATTTGTTAATAAAATTGATCTTCATACTACAAGTGTTGCTGGAGCATTTTGACCTCTGTCTGTCTCTATATGAATGACCGGCGAACAGGTGTACCCCGCCTCTCGCTCAATGACAGCTGGGCCGTATCCGAATTGCCAAGTACATACTGAATCTTTCAGTAGGCAGTAGGCAGTATGCAGTACGTACTATCTGTGCTGCATACTGTTAGTACCTAGTATTCAGTATGCACACACAGTAGGCAGATATTTGTGCCTACTTCTTCTGATTCATTCAGTATGGAAGTAACGTCATTTACGTTTCTCGAATCGGCTGCATCCACCCGTTTTTCTTTTTTTTTTTTTGTTTAGCTTTATTCAAGAAGAGTAATGCGCATATACAGTCAGGTAAACAAAAACAATATCACAATGTAAATCAAGTAAAAGGCAGATTAAATAACTAAATAACATACAGTACATAAAGGAAAGTACAAATGAAAGACAGTAATATACAGAATATAAAATAAACCAATAAAGACACATTTAAATAGTGAAATCATTATTTAAATAGAGAAAGGTTTTATAATAATGCAGATATTTGTTATATTTTCTGTTGTTAATATAAAGTAGTGATTTCAGTCAGGACTTTAACTCTAGATTAATAAATGATTAAATTAATCCACGCTCGTTTGTTTTGATTTGGAGGCGCACGTGACGTGACGATTTACGTTTCATTTCGCACAGCATTGTGGGTGGTAAAACACAATTCATTTCCTGAAAGCACGCATCCGATCCATACTGCATAAAACCCGGAAGTTAGTATCCATACTGAAATGTTCATTATACTGAGGTGGACCCAAAAAATGCATACTGAATGACCATGAAAGTTCAGTATACTGAAACTACATACTGAATAGTACGTACTGCATACTGAACTGTGACAATTGGGAAAGGGCCCTGGGATCAGCTCCAGCCCCCCGCCACCCCGTACGGGAGAAAAGTGGTATCGATAACTGATAGATGGATGAAGACAGAAATGTTTGTGACCTAGTAACAAGGTGTGTGACATACTGACATAAGTGCATTTACAAAATCAGACCACTGTATAACCATTTTAAAAGAAATGTTTCTGTCTGAACAAGACAGAGAAAAACGACTGTGTTTATTTAAAGAAGGCTAAAGTTAAACAGGTTCACAGGTGTAAGTGTGTAAAACTCAATTATAAAGCTGCAGCTCTTCCAGCTGCTCCTGTCGTCCCTAGAGAGAGGATTACATTAACCTGGTACTGAAGTCACTGCCAACGAATCCTGAGTGTTGGGATCTGTTTTGTTTCTTACTCAGCACACCGGTCTGCTGCTGCTGTGTTTCAATCTGTGTAATTATCTAACACTACGTCCTCCTATTGCTTTAACTGTTTCATCTTCATTCATTGTATTCCCCACAAAGGAGAAGGAGAAGCTGTACGTGGAGCTGAAGCACATTCTGGCCCGTCATCCGGGTCCAGAGG